TGTATATATGCGTGCGATATTGATATAGCAATATGTATCGATGACGTAAGTCCTATTAAATCAATAAAGCAGTGACTTCTATATGAAACTATTTTTTAAGATAAAATGATAAGATTAGTAAATGTTCATATTACTAACGAAATCATACACCGATTTCAATGAAGTATATTAAAGGAAGAAGGATTTACACGAGTTTCCAAGTTTCTACGTAAAGCGAAGTCCTTACATCGCCCCCTTGCTTACAAATGCGAAATGAGAATAGTTACATAGTTTCACATCTCTTACATTCGAATTAAGAGAATTCTATAATCTATTCCCTTTAATATATATTTCAAAATCATTAAAATCGGAAATTGCCATTAATGTAAACATTTATCATATTTTTTATATTATTTAAAATGGCTTTGTCATAGAAATTGCCAAAATCCTTTTAAATACTTTTATTTGAATCCGAAATAAAGCTTTTGATGAACAAAGTTTCATCAAAATCAAAGGTTTTCGGAAGTTTATCTCATTTATTTTTTACAATCAAAGCAAAAAATTTATTCATTAAATAGATTAAATTAAATAAATTAAAACGTTAGATTTATTACTGCCAATATGTCCATCTCGTATGTCCATAATAAAAAGTACGTACTGTGCTACTTCAATAAACAACATATACAAGGAAATATAATACAAGGAAATGATTCCAACATCATCATTTAGAATGCAAAAAATTGTAAAAGAGAGTAATATTCTGTTAGTCTTTCTTAATTATAATACTTGGAAAATTTTATTTTTAAAGATTAAATTTCAAATCCGGTCTTTTTATTTATATGGTGAGAAATCGTTTTACTTCCGAGTTGAATATTTAAACTATTAAAATTGTTTAAGCACAATTTCTTTTGCAATTATTTTTTACGTTTTTACTTTACACAATTTTTCTTACATTTAATTGAGGTTATATGAGATTTATAAACTATTGATATATTATTATATTGATATATAATGTATACGTAATCCTCTCTTAATTAATATTGAATCGCGAGAAGCAAAGCAGAGCTGTGTTTCAAAATAAAACTTGAAGTTTCTTAGTTAAATAGTGATTAAAAATATCACTTTGACTCTTGAGATCCATTTATCAAACTATAACTCGTATCCAGATAGGTTTTAGTCGAGTTCTTCAGCAGAAACGTAAATATAAATATAGGTCATAAAGACGTCAGAAGTCTCGTCAATCTTTGAGAGTGCTGTTTATTATTATTTCGATTACTTTTTCACATGTGCATATGTTGAAGAGCTAAAGTGTTTCGGACTTTGATTTATCGCGAGAATTACTAATATAAATGCATGCAAGGTATATATTATGGAATTTTTCGTCATGAAATTTTTCATCGGGGCTTTATACCTTGCCTTATACATTTATGTTCGTGCACTTGCGCATGCTCACCAACGTGGAGGATAAGCGGAAAAATGCCACAGCCAGGATCAAAGTCAATAAATTCGGGCAACAAACAGAATGCAATCTCCTAAAAGCTACGTTCACGTTCGTAGCGAAATAAATATCTCGCGCGTCGGCCCGCTTCGAGATTCGGCTGAGCCTCTGAGATTCAAGTCAGCGTTGCCTTTCGAGTTTCCGGTGGACCGTATCCTTTGCATCTTCCAACGTCCATTTAAACTTCTACTTTGCTTATCGTTATCGCGCCGCTAAACCTCTTCACGCGGTTCGACGCCTTTGCGCCCAACAAAGCGGATGAAGAAAGAAAAAAAAGAAGATGAGAAAGAAAAGCCCGAGGAAAGGCAAAATATGAGGGAGGGAATAAGAACGTTCAAAATGCGCTATTTTATCGTAGCTTCACTGGCGGTTAAGCGTGCCCCGCGGGTTAAGGAGACTACCGTTAAGAAGACGAAAACGACAACGCTGGCGACTGTAACGGCGATGAAACGTGCCGTCGGCCCCTGGGTGTTCCCGCATATGCTCAAAGCTACATGAAAATCCCATAGTCGTATGCTCGCTGGAAATACTAGTGCAGGCGCGACAAAGATGGATAAAGGCGGAGTTGGCGAAAGGACTCGAGAATTATTACAATGGCAAACGGAGGATAGGTCGTGTCGTCGCCGCAGTAATACGTGGCGACGCAATTTGCACTTGTTGCTGTCAACACAGTCTGTGCATTAAGCTTTATTAAACCAAGTGCGACGAATGTTTAATTTAAAATTACTTCCGGAGTCGACATGAAATTGAGATGGCGCCGCGGCCATCATTCGCCGAGAGATATTCATCAAAATTGGATCACGTGCAGTCGAGAAATAAAATCAATCTCACACGCGTCAAGCAGGAACGAAACACGAGAGGATATCGATCATGGTTAAGATCACCGCTCGTAGCTAGCGGCTTGATTAATTGACAGAATCGATCCTGCGGTCCAGTGAGTTTATGCGGTGAATGTAAGCTGATTTCGGCCACATTGTTGCAGCCGTGACAGCTTAGGTAGAAAGCATTAAACTGCTTAAAGCAACCAATCAGGACGTGAATCAGATTTCTGTAGTTACAAAGAGGATGTAAGATTTAGATGCATAGATCACGATGTTGTGTGTGTGTGTGTGTGTGTGTGTGTGTGTGTGTGAGAGTATGTGTGTGCGTGCGTGCGTGTGTATAGGCGATGCAACGTTATAATCAAACTAAACTTTCCACTGTACGAATAAATATTGTTAATTGAAAGCATCGAGAGACAGTGAAATATAGCCTGTTGGATGCCTTCTATATCGCCGCCGGTGACGTTACGGAACAGTAGAAAACATAGTCGACTTGACTGTAAAGCGAGTGTGCCGCACGTACGGAGCATCAAGCCGGGAAAATGTTGTACTAGACACGTTCGAATGATATACGTGGTGTAGTATACAATAGGTGTAGTTGTGGTACGTGTTGAACTGTCAGTAACAAAGTAGACCGACTGAGAGTAAACAGGACTACAAAACTACGTACACCGTGAAATGTACCGTATTAGAAGAACGTTGATTTAAACACCGATTTCAGCTGCTTGAAATTTAATATATGATTTTACAGATTATCAACGTTGCAACTCTATAAGACAATATTCTTAGAATGTTATTGAATATTAAAAACGATCAGTAACATACACTGAGAAAAAATATACTAAAAAAAATAAGAAAATTTCTTTAATTTTAATAAATCATGTGTATATACAACATACTGTGAACACATTTTTTTTAAATAAGTAATTACAGATTTATTAGAAGAATATTATTCTCTTATAAAGAAAATCATTTATTAATTTTTTTTTCAATGAACGACTATCGAAATTTAATTATTTTTTAATAAATAATTTTTCAATTTATTCATATTTATTCATTTCAAGCAAATTCTATTAAAAGAAAATTATTCTTAACTTGTAAAACTTAATATAACATAATTAATATGTATTAACTTTCTACCAAGTATTAATTTTCATAAAATGATAAAGTGTAAATTTTTAATTATTTTTTACATTCTGTATTACAAGTTATACATTAAATTAAACGAAATTGTATTGTTAAAAAATATACTTTATTTATTTTCATGTTGAAGTTCGACTTTAAAATTTATGAAGTTATTGTTAATAAATTTTAAAGCTTCAACATGAAAATCTAAGATTTTTAATCTTAATGCTTTTACTATAATTGAAAGACGAAGTTTTATAGTTTGATTAATATTTATTCAAATGAAATAAATTTAATCTTATTTCTTTAATTTTAATAAATATTCACTAAAATAAAGAAAAGTTTTTTCTTATATAACATTCATGTATAACATTCTAAAAATATTATGTGCTTAGAAATGATAACAAGATACAAGTAAATAATTGACAATCTGAATAACTACCAAGAATAAGTCTATTGTTTCCACGTTCGATACGAATTGTGTCCACATTAATCACGTCGCTAGGAACGCATTTGCATGAACATCATATCAATACTGCTTGACATAACAATACGTATAACCGATTTTATGAATATCACTCGCTATCATTTTGGGAACTTTCCCGATACTATGTAATATTAACTATTCATCATATATACATAAGTTTTAGAGTAGCAAAGGAAGTTCATGATTTATAAACGACACCGATGTAGAGAAAAGAGAGAAGAGAAAGCGATAAAATCCGATCGCTACTGCCGAGGAAGCCAATATTCTACAACAAAATCGATACTCTAAATAAATATTGTTCGATAGATACTCGAATTGACGGCGTATCTCCCGTTTGTCGCCGAAAGCCAATATTTATTTACCGACCGGACCGAAAAACGAGAGAGCCCTGCGCTAGAAACGCGTATATTACACACCCTTACAAAAAATTTGCTAAATAAATATGTAGCTATCGATATATCGACCCACGCAAGTATTGGATCGCACAAAGATATTTTCGACAAAAAGTACTTCTAGCGCACGCCAAATAGTTCAATGTGAAAACTCGTAGCTTCCACAGCATAAGTTCATCCAAGCTAGCCTCTCTGTTAATACATATACAGAATGTTCTGAAATGGATAGAAAGGATGTTGCGAATTAAAACAAATTACAGTAAAGAAGTTAAAAAAAATTACAGTAAAGAAGTATTGAATAAATTAAGTAAAAAAGTTATTTGTAAATTTTTATTTTACGCAAAAGTTTACAAAATAATGACAGTTTAAATATGATCAATTACGGATTACGATTAAATATGAACTACATTTGAACGCATAAGTACGCGCTTAAATAGTAGTCTATTACCACACATGTGATTCATAGACAGATGGCCGTCTGAACGTAATCTGTAATTAGCTGTATTTAAACTCTTTTATCTCAAAATCTATTGCTTGAAATAAAAAAACTTACACAAAACTTTTTTACTTATTTTTTGAAATCTTTTTTAATATTTTGAATCGCGAATTTCAGGGCATTCTGTAGATGCGATTTTTTAAACTCATTATAAAACTGTAAAAAATGCAATTTTATATATAGTGTAATATGTATGTCTTACTTTCTGTATCCGCCGGAATTGGACAGAAAACTATCGGAATAAACTATCTTCACAGCTTGCAGCAATATCTGAAAAAAATAACTATTATATAACTACGACATAAATATATATATGCTTAAACATAAGAACACACACACACACACACACACACACACACACACACACACACACACACACACACACACACGCGCGCGCGCGCGCGCACATATCATATGTCTGTATGTATATATTGTTAGAAATGCTTCCCTTTACATATAAATGAAGCTCGTGATTGTGAACAAAATTAAAAATAATGAATAATTTAATAGAAAACTAAGTTATAGTAGTTACTTAAATGTAATAAATGTGTACATTAAATTTTATAAAATTTTATAAAAAGTACATTAAATTTTATAAAGTTTCATGAAAAATGCATTACATTGCAACTTTCATGTACATATACGCAAATATATTTTTCAATTATAAATAAATTTAATGTAACGCCATGAAATTAAATTCAAATTGTGTAACTTAAAAGTACATTAAATTTCATGAAATTTTTAACAGTGTATATATATATATTTTTAACAGTGTATATATGTATAAATGGCTGCCAAAAGTTTTCAGTTAATAAGTAATTTTATTATTCAGGTAAACAATCTTATTATTGTATATCTTTACATATGTATATAAATATATGGTACGTATATATCTAACAAGAATTAAAATTACCAATTCAGGCAATTTCAATTTTTACTAAATTTATTCGTGTTACAGACTCTATTATCATATACATATGTATATTTTATTTGTGTGTGTGTGTGTGTATTTATATTTTTCATATAGGGATTTTCGTCTTAAATTGTTCAAAAGAATCCAGAAATAATAATAGAGATTATAAAAGTAAAATAATTCTTTATTTATAAGCACTTAAAATTAGCTTATAATTGAAAACATTATTGTAGTCTCGACATTTTCATATAGAATTTTCATTTCAAAATTACCTCAAGAATACGTCCTTAAGAAGAAATGTGATAGTTTGTATATAACACATATAATTTATGTAATGTATATAATATATATAATATATAGATATATATGATATGTTTATGCATATTGATTTGTGCAACTGATAACACAGATGAGATATTCTTTACATGGATTAACGTACAGGATGCGTAGCGTGTTCATTACAAGCGTATCTATGAACATTACCACCGCACTAGTAGCGCATTAATGGGAGATAATACTGATTTATGTGAGGCCTTACGGTCGAGTTTAGGTCGAGTTTGTGTCACATGTACTTTCACACATGTGAATTTCATTATCGATCAATCGGATAATTAATTTTATGTTGTTCAATTATTTTATATCAAGTATTTTATTTAAATAAAATTAATGACAATCATTCTGATGCTAGTATATACCTATTACTAGTTTTTATAACTTTTTATCATAAGATGATTCTTTAAAACAAAATATTAAAAAGACATAATCTATTTATTTCTCATATTATTTTTATTCTCTTTTTTAAATTCATATATAATAATAATGTGAAATTTAAAAAAGATAGAGATAAACCTTTTTGTTATAATGATATATTCCATATTAATGCTTAATCTTTTCGGAAACTTTATGAATATTAATATGATTTTGAAATCATTTACTGTACAAAAATCTCGAAACGCGAAGCAATAAAGTTTGCTGTGTCTGTGACATATATTGCGATCGCAAGAATGGAAAATTACTACGAAGGTTCGCAAGAAAGGAACACCGTGGCAACGGAGATTGGCAGTACGCCAAAGCGCAGCGATGTCACGGGGGAAAAGAGCCGTGCATCATTGATGATTCGGTTCTGATGCTTCTCGTGCGGCTCTCATTCTTCACAATGCAAGCTGCATCGTTGGCTGCAAGACTCGCGAGTTAGCTGCAAGCTTCGCGATACATTGCAAAGCAAAAGGAAGGAAATCAGAATCGGTAATTCGATTACCGTACAAAATATGCCGCTCGGATCATACCGTACCGAAATGAATCGCGCAATGAATTCATAACAGGAATAAATTCAGTCATCCGACAGTCCATATGTTATTGCCGTACTCGTGTCTGCATGAAATCGAGCGGACAGCGTTGCAATCCGTTGACAATATTCGAAAAGCGCTCTTCATCCGTGCCAATTTTCGTGTTCGTTAATCGCGAGTTACGTCCCTCATCCGATTATGATTCGATACCCATTGCAATTCCAGCCACGCCGACTGTAATACCACGGACAGGTACCAAAAATTCTCTATTACTTCACATCGTATCGTGAGATAAAAACAGCATCTCTATTCTCATTTTATTAAACTTCACGAGATATACCGGTCTGCGCGTAGATTTTCTCAAAAGAGAAGAAAGAGAAAGGAAATAAAGAAGGAAAAACAAGAGTATTTAGAAATGATTGAAAACGTGAAAGCAATCGGCCGGATAAGCATGCCGGATAATATGCATTTCGTGGGGAAAAAGAGCGAGAAATAATGCAAAGTGTGCAACTGGCAAACGAGAGATACGGCAGCGAACTGTCGGCGCAGCTGTGACTGTTTCTGCCGTCGAGTGAATCGGTTCTCTCGACTACTACAATAACAGAAGATGAAGGAACAGGAATACGATGCTCTCGGAAATTAAACGTAACGATTCATGCAGTAAAAGCGCGCAAAAGCAATGGACTATTACATTATATTAAAACAAAATTAATTTGAAAGATCAGTGCCTAATAATAAGGAAAAATCAGAAAAGGGATTGAAACTACAAACCACAGAGTGTAGCAGATTCTATTGATAGCTTATGTCGATATAATTAAACTAATTTCAATTATTTTAAAATAAAATCGGTTTAAGAAATACAATGTATTTAATTGAATTCATCGCGTCGTTGGAAACAATGCCTTTTTAAATTAGAATTATAAGTTGTTAATATTTAAAATTATTCATTTCCGTTTTCAATTATATGGAAGCAGTTTCCTTTGGTATATTTCTTTAAATTATAAATGACATTTGATTTAAAATATAATTAAAAAATAATTATAAAAATTAATAAATATTAATAAAAGAAGATAAATCATATTATTTGAATTTTATATCGCGGTTGAAAAATACGGAAAATCAATTCACAATTTTAATGAAGGTGCAGTGAATTAAATAGTAGTAAGAGACAGAGAGAAAGAGAGAGAGAGAGAGAGAGAGAGAGAGAGAGAGAGAAATAATTCATGATGTACTTTATGCGCTGCGATATTGAAAGTATTCTTGCAGCGATCGTTGAGAAGATTTCGCCGGTCTGAGAATCGCGACGGAACGATTAAGAAAACTCGATATTCAAATCAATTGCTATCCCAATGCCCGTAAACCAGTCTCATAAATTTCGACAAAATGCAAACCACGTGGAAATCTTGGCGCATACTATTCATGTAACAAGTATTAAGGCGGCGCGATATGCAAAATTTTTGCGAAGCATTCTTCTACGCGAACAAGTTTTCGCATTATCGTTAGAAAATGCGAGCGATCTACGGAGTCTGAAAAGTCACGTTTGCTCACATGCATTTATTCGAGAACTCATTGCCACGTGGTTACATGGTCGGAAGCTACAAAAAAGCACTTCGCTCTTCGTATATTCTTCGGTGAGAATTTAGTTTTTAACATTTTTATTTTAATAAGAAAGATATATAAATGGCATCTAACGAAGTGCGAACAACGGGAGTGTTCTACTTACGCGAATGTAATCAAGGAACTCCTCATCATTTCAAAACGTTTTCAATTCCGGAGTGGAATCTTATTTTATCATAGCATAGTAATTAGGACAGAGATTATTACAACTGCGGCGTACACAATAATGCGACGTCTCGACCCACCGACAGCAAATTACGAAACTCCGAACTCTGGAAGTAAACTCTGGTTGGTCCGATACGGGAAGATCCTGGCACCAGGACCGAGTTTACTTTGGCGCTCTAAAGTACCACAACTCTCGCAACCCGCCTACGAAATATAGCATATTATAATAACTTATCGTTAATTTCGGCCTGCTTCACCGCGTAACTTTCGTAACGGAAAACCGTTCGTTGCGCCGAGGAAATACTAATTTAAGTAAGCAGATCGATATTCTACATCGATAGAAAATAGACGTGTATATTAACTTGATATTAAGAAAATTAACACGTATATGTGTAATCTCTTATGTCGTTTGCATTATACGAATGTAGCATATCGCATTAATGCATTGTCTCTTCTTAATTTGTCCTTTAATCAACGATGTCTTCATTCACAAGATAATCCTAGATATTGTCTTCATCCTAATCCTGCCGATGTTGCTTATGAGGTTAATTAAATTACCAGACGCGCTCTCGGAGCACAAATTTATCATAACACGCATAGAGATGTAATCTCGGTGTAATTTGATCATCGTGTGTCGCGGTAACGAGTAACGAAACAGAGTACTTATCGCAAGTCGTATTATTTTAACGTTCCAAGGTGAAACATCCATGGATGAAGGAATAATCCGCGACTCCTCCTTCACAAATATGTACGTTCCATCGGAGACGCATTACTTACGCCACATTAATTCCGAGGAGTCGAAGAGAGAATCGCTTTTTGCGTCAGAGTTTTATGACGAGTAAATCACGGTACACCAGAAATTGCACCCACTCTCATCGCGTCTAAATGCAAACCGCGCTGTCGCGTTTTAGCGGAACATATTGCTCGGTTCGATGGTCAATCGACAACTGTAACTTGCATGCAGCTGAATTACACGCATCCCACGTTACGCTGTCCGCAACACAGGTCATTGATGTTTACGATCCTGTAAACAGCGTACACATACGTCTAGCATGCGATATACTAATTGTACTTCTCACACTTTTTAAAGTGATGACGCGTAAAATTTGATAAAAATGATAAAAATCTGATTTTTTACAATTTACAATTATCATTAGACTGCTAAATGGTGTAAAATGATTTAAAACCGAATTGTCGAATTGTACACGGCGTTAAACAGATATGATAATGGATCAATACAAATTAAACAAGTTTTCACTGCAGTGAATGCCACTGAAATTCAATAACGT